TTGAAGTGCTCTCGTGATCTGCTGTACGGAGTTTTCCATGATAAATCTCATTCTTCCATTGCGTCTTCGTTCTGCAACGAGTATTTGCATGCCAGCATCTCAACTCAGACAACCACCCTCACACTGCATCCCACGTCTGTCTACGAGGAGACCACCACTGTCACGGCGGCGACTGCTTATGTGACTGTCACGAACTCGGCCCAGGTTACGCGAACTGTCACCCAGGTGTCTAGCACCACGGTCTTTGTTCCACTGACCTCAACAGTGTTCACCCAGTCTGATATATTCCAAGGGACTCAGTATGTTACCGAGACAGACACGACTATTTTTGCGACAGAAACCTCTGTCGTGTCATTTACGACGACCGATGCGACATACACTAGTTTTGAGACAGAGTAAGAAGACTTTCCCTTCCATATGAGACAGGCGTGTCAAGAGCTAATTCGTTCTCGAAGCACGGTTGTTGCGACGGTCACATCGCCAGCTAAAGTCAAGAGACACAATCGATGCAAGCCTGACGAGCCCGGTTGGCTCAGCTCGGTTCGCACTAGTGCCGCATCGCATTTGAGCAGCGCTTGCTCGTGCTTGATCACGCCGGCTGTGGAAACGATCACAGTCAGTGAGACGGGCTCTGCTGTTGCCCAGGCTAGTGAGGTAGGCTCGCTTCTCGATGATGATTTCTGGTTTGGGAGGATACTGTGTACTAATTATCTAAAGGCTACCGTCGACGTCACTGCTCAAGGAACCCAAACAGTTTCTGTCACACTGACTGACCTCGCCTCGACTGTGGAGGTTGCTACCATTTCTTCGACCACCCTTGTACCAGTCACAGCCACGACAAGCGTGAGCCTGACCGTCGTCTTGACAGCCGACGCAACAGCGTACGAGACGACAACAATCACCAGCACCCAAACAATTGAAAGGACGGCCCTCACAGCCGTGACCCAAACGGTAAGTCCCAGCCAAAGAGGTTCCAAGCGCGGAAGTGGATCATCTTTCGAGCTCAGCGCAAGCTAATCAGTCTCTTTTTTGTCTTGGCAGGCCACCCGAACAACCACGTTGTCACGACCACAGGCCAGCGGACAGTGCGCTGATCTACCAAATCCTTATACCGCACCTGATGGTCATCAATATGAGATCCACTGCGGTACTTTCTTCCCCATTACAGGATCAATAGCAGGATTCAATGGAGTCACTCAATTTTCAGACTGCCTAAATCGTTGCGGCTCTTATTCAAACTGTGTTGGTGTAGACTACGCTCCGACCAGCAGCTATTGTGAGCTCTTTAGCAGTTATCTCTCATCTGCCTCGGGCTACGTCTCTGGATTGAGGATATCCTGATCATTAGACAGAAAGTACCTTCAATATTCAATGATCACCTAATAAAGTATAGTTGCAGACTGATTTAGTCTCGAGAAATGTATTGTTCATACTCAACATGCGGCCACGGAATCCAAGCAGCTTGTAAGTTGTCAGTAATACAGGGCGTAAGGCCGCTTTCATCAGTAAATTGTAATTATAGTTCGCTTTGGAGGCAATATTCTGTCAATCCATGACTATCTAGAGAAGCACGCCAGCATAGAGGACTAAGAGAACATTAACCGGAGGTGTGATATAGGATTGTAGGGTTCTCATGTCATTTGTAGATAAACCTGCAGTTCACTTCAAACTATCAAAAGCTAGCTTTGAAGGCTCTGCAGCAACTGCAAAGGTTACGTTACTTGAGTGGAGTTCGGACAGTTGAAGCAATAACAATCAGTATTTTAAATTGCCGGCTAATGAAGTGTAAGCTTTTCGGCAGTGTTCCAAGGCCCTCTGGGTCGGAGCTCACCTTGATTGGCAGGTCGCGATGAGCGGAGCAGCCTTGGGAGGCAAATCTGCGACCACGGGTTGGTAGACAATACCTCACTTATGTTTGGTCAAAAACAGGATCTTTTCAGCGGTAGCTCTGATAGCTGCTTACCTTGCTTGTCTGTCGTGAGCCAAGAGTCTCCCTGGCTGAGCGAACGAGAAAATCGGGCGTATCCATTTACGCCTCCGTCCATGACGTCGATTTCCCATATAAACCAATATTGATTGAACCTCGTGCTGCTTTCAAGTATAAGATAAGCTTCTGCTAAGGTCCCAGGTTGTCACAGCCGGCTTTCCGACGTGCTTCGACCTCCCATAAGCCCATCTTCTCTGAACCAAATGAGATTGTCATTATGGCCTTCGAAAAGTCGTCAACCTCATCTGGTACCGCCTTGATGAACAGTTCTTCGGTCTCCTCCCTATGCATGAATCCTACATTCATTCCAGAGCACATCATGTCCCAGGATACAGCTGACTGAGCATCCCAGACGCCCTTCCGAGTTGTATACATGACTCCGCCCGGGCATGGAGCCCATCCTCGCTTCATTGCGGAATATATGCTCTTCAGCGAGGCCGACATCATCCACACCCGTCGTATAGATTCGGCCAAAATCCAGGCATTCCACAACACTTCACTAACGCTGCGCTCTGGCGCCTCAAGCCCGCAAAGAGTTGGTGCTAGGTCGTCGATGTTCGCCAGTGTCAAAAAAGAGTTTGCTCCAGCGCTAGAAGATGCAATATTAATCAATGCCAGCGACCAGGTTTCCAAGACTGGAATGTGCTCCTCCGCATCATGACGCAGCCGAACGTCACCGTCGTACAGGCGTATAATCTGGTAGACAAGCAGAGCATGCACACGGGCTAGTATGTCATAAGCGTTGAGTGTCGCTAAACGGTGGTCATCGAAGAGGGAAGACACGCGGTCCGTTATTATCCGGAAAACAGTTTCTTCGTTCGCAGCAGTCTTCTGGTCGTAAATCGCAACGGTCGAATAGGCGTCTTGCACGCAGCGTGGTATGTGATGTCTGTATATGTGGGAGTGAATGAAAGGGTTTCCGGCTGTCGAAACCCATTGCGAAAGCCATAACCTGAAGCCCTTTACATGTTGCTTCAATATAATACTAGAATACTGCCTGTTCTCAAGGCGTGGCGAGTGACGGATATCCCATGTTTCGGGATGGAGGAACCAGATAGATGAGGGATTTGATAGGGGTCCCGAGTCTGTGGGTGAAGGCCCTAGCTGACCAGTACTATCCGGCATAGTGCCAATGGCTGTCCCGGGAAGACTTTCATCTTGAATGAAAATTGATGATACGATTTCGGGGAATGAAGTTGGCACATCTTCGCTTGGAATCCAACAGCTTCTTTCCGGGCTCGGATAAACGCACTCCAGACTTCTCTCCACGCATCTCGTACATTGCGGATCCTGCTTACCACACTTCTGCTTGGCTTTGCGGCACGCAGTGCAAGCCTTCTTCTCGGAAGGGAGAACCATGTCCTTTCGATGCTTTGGTCAGCACTGGCATCTGAGTGTATGTCTGGGTGATGAAACATCGATAGGAGACCCACAAACATCCGCGGGCGATTAGTCAGTTCTAGAGCACTAATACCAGTCGCTACGCACCGCACTCTAACATGGCCGCGCCGCGGGCGCTAACCCAAAAGAATTCACGATGCGCGGACCGAGATGTAAGATGGGCCAGAATTCAATACTTCAGCACTTTGGCGTTCTGTACCTCTTCAGATTGTATGATTAAGCTATGTTTAATGGAAAGCTCGATGAGCCCGCGGATGGCTCTGATTTCTTTTGATCTATTTGAAATCATTTTGCTCTTCAGAATGTAATCCATTTTGGATTGCAAAATGCTTCCAATTCTCATTCTTCCGCTTCTCTAGGGGGATATAAACAGCCATAGAGAGCCATCGGCGAAAGACAAAACAGTCACACAACACAGCAACTCCTTAGCTGGCAAAGGTCATACAAGGCATTTCGAATTTCTCACGGTATTTCTATCATCTCTCATCTAATCCGATTACAAAGAAGCCATGGCCACTGAGAAGATACCGCTCAACCTTTTGACGGACGTCACCAAGACAGTCCACCGGGTACCCTATCCGGCCATTTCTCCTACCCGCCCCGAGTTGACCCAGGCTGGTAAAACAATCCTCGTAACTGGTGGCCATACAGGTGTGGGCAAAGCCATTGCAAAGGCTTTCATTCAAGCTTCTGCTGCGACTGTGATCATTGTAGGCCGCCGCACAGAATTGGTTGCTCAGGGTGTGGACGACCTCAAGCAGGAGGCCGAGAAAGTCGGCACGAATACCAAAATCCTTTCTCACATGCTTGATATCACCATCCTTGCTGATGTCGATGCATTTTGGGCAAATCTCAAAGACAAGGGCATCTTTGTGGACGTTCTTGTCTCGAATGCTGCGAGGTTCGCTAAGCCAGGAAAACTCCTCGAGCATGGAACTGATGAGCTATGGTCAATGTACGAGGCCAATGTGAAGGCGCCGCTGCGCCTGACAGAGAATTTCTATAAACAGGAAGGCGATAAGCAAAAGGTACGATGACGGTCACTTCTCTATCATTCTTTACCGTAAATAGGACGCTAATGAGCGTGCGTGTAGTATTTGATCAACATATCCACGCAGGCAGTCCACATGTGGGAACTACCGGACTCCCAAAACCTCATGACTTATGGAGTAACCAAGAACTCCGGTACATTGCTGTATCAGGTAATTGCCGACGAAACGCTTGCCGAGAAGATGCAAACCATAAGCGTTCATCCTGGTACAATTTTCACCGAAGTCTGGCAAAACTATGGAGTCGATAAAACTTATCTACAGTTTGATGAAGGTAAGTATCAATTGTTATATCATCAACTTTTGAGAATTTGGATCGATGCTGATTCTGACTCTAGAGGACCTGCCAGGTCAGTGGGCCGTTTGGGCTTCTTCGCCGGAAGCTCGATTCCTGCATGGCCGCTTCGTTTGGGCTTCCTGGGATGTCGAGGAGTTGAAAAGTGGACCTCTCCGCAAGAGACTGGACGAGGATTACCACTTTCTTAGGATTGGGGTATCAGGGCTGCATGGAAGTAACCTCGTGTAAATAACAATTAATTTTGACAAAGACACCAAGACAGAGCGTGATATGAGACCTTAGATTTCATCATTATAAAACACCTAGCAATTCATTATCCATTCAGGACTTCGCAGCCTCTAGAACACTATTGTCTCTGGGACATTATGACAGTATGCTGCAAACCCTACCCAAGAACGCCAAACGTCATCTCTATAAGATTCAATGGTAACATTCTAATGAAGTCCAAAACACCGGGGATCAGGAAACTCGTGACATTAAATCCCATCCCGGATGTACGTCATTCTCCGTAGCAGTCCATATCCAGGCACTCAAGTAAATGCACTGAACGGAGTCCCCAAGACCTTGTTGTTGCCCGCAAGCTTCACCCCCTCTTTCCTCAAAAGCATTCGCTTCTCATCCAATGTGATACCCGTACCATCCTTAGACCACTTGCCCTTAAAGCCTCCTAATGCGCCACCAGTTGCGATGCATCGATGGCACGGAACTTCAGGGGCAAAAGGATTGCGCCTCATGGCGTTGCCGATAGCGCGTGGCGATGATCCGAGATGCGCAGACATCAGACCATACGTCGTGAAGTGTCCGCGGGGCACTTGGCACAGGAGGCTCCATACTCTCTTCTCGAACGGCGTGCCAGATGACTTTGCGATGCGCTCGAGTTGCTTCTCCATATCTGTTCCTTCAGGCACTGCTATTGAGATGATGTCTCGCTGTGGAGGTTGGTTGGAATCATCAATGACCTTGCGAGCTTTGGCAGTAGTTTCAGATATCTCGTCAAGCACGAGTTTTCGTTTGAGTCCGACAGCCATGTGAGTGAGGCCTTTTAAAAAAGTTATGATACTGAAGTGGCGGCGTATTCGAAGTCTTCTGGTTATTAGGAATGTAGAACTTGCAGATGCAATCAAAGAAGATGCTTGATCAAGCTCAGCGACCTCTTTTATGTGCGGTGACAATAAAGTTTGCTGTGCGCATGCCAATCCCGTTGCTCTAGAAGTATCGAATCAGCATTCGCGCCAATGCAAGAAATGATTCAGAGCGGCCTGTCGTCCACAAGGCGCGCGTGGGGTAAGCCCCAGCAGGCGCGTCATATCTTTTACGCGAAATCTACGCGTGTCATGTGATTAGTATCAAAGGTGTCAGCCTCGGCATTCGGGAAATAGCCTTTGCTCTTTCGTTTAGAAAGAACAAAGTATAACGAAATGGGACTGGAGAACATGGCTGGGACTACATTTGTTTTCTATGAGAGACATGTGTGATCTTGCGGGCCTGTAGAAGCACTACAGTTGCGAGTATCAACACCAGCAAGATGCCGCGTTTCGACCGCGACTGGTATAAGACTTTCAAACAACTGAGGAGCCTCATCATGAAAGTTTTACTCTCATAGCATCAGTGATAACCGTGTGCCACAACTACGCCCGACCATAATGCAGCTGCCATTGTACGCCGCATATGCCGACGGTCAAATTTTCTCGGTCTGAGGCTCCAGCCAGTGATGGCTTGCAGGACATCTGCTGTCACGACGCCATTGGGTGGCCACCTACGGCCGCAGAGCTGCACTTTTGACTCGTGTTTCAAGTATCCGCAGCCGCTTCTTGCTTCTGATTGGAAATGATTGGAATAATTGACGCCCATCTTTGCTGTGTTTCGCTGCGGCCGATGATCTGGCATGCGATGCGCACCACGATGTCGGTCAGGCCTCTCCACCCCGAGTGGACAACTTTCCCATGCGTTTTCTAGAATATAATGCCATCTTGCAGTAGTGGCCGCCTCCTTTGGCGGTGATGGCTGCTGTGCGACTGCTGGCTTCGCCCGGCGATTTTCGAGGCGATGAGGTGAGCTCCGCAGGGACAAATTCCATTTCATATATGGGTGTAGACATTTAGTCAGTCTAGGCTACTAGAGTTTTACCCATTGTGTTTCTTCAAATCCTAGTCTTTACTGCACTGGCTCTTTCCTATAACATTCACTCCTTGTTGTTACGATGGCTAGTAGATGTCAGAGCGAAGGCTGCAAGGCTGAGGTTGCCCTCAAGACCTTGGATCCTGCCCCGAGGTTCCCGATTAGATCTCCGCAACCTCCTTTTGCCAATGGTGCTGTTCCTGGGGGCAGTGCTAGAGTACCTTCAAAATATTGCAAGAAACGTAGGATAGATCCAATCCCAATATTAATCGACTTGCTGAATAATTCATGCAGATACGTGTGACCACTTCTATAGATCGGATGGTTGTGATTTCAAGAAGGTGCCTCATGATTCAGTCTGCGCCGTCCGTAAGTACTTACCTTCACAGATTGCTTTAGAATCAATCTCACAAAGATGAAGATGCACAATGTCCGATCCCAGGCTGTCTAGAAGGTAAAGGCCAGTACCTTGAATTAGAACAAGACAGCCGCGGCCCTCCAAAGTACCTTCGATACGACTTCTGTTCTTTACGTGCGTGCAAGATTATTCAGCCTCCATCAATCATTCTTTGACAACCCATAGATAAATGCACTGAACAACGATGCCGATTCCCAAGGGCCCGAGGACCGCTCGGCAAACCGAAGCTCTTCTGCGAACAGCGTGAGTATTCAGTTGCCACAGTCCTCTTGATGAATTGTGTCGCTGATCCTTAGTAGATAGCTGTCAAGCCGATGATTGTACAAACCGCAGTCTCGACCAATTCAACTTCTGTCCCGAACGTAAGGTCTCCTCTATTAGCCTTTTAAAGGAGATAATGGCTCATCAGATGTAGATAAGTGCATGCGATGCCCAACAATCGTGGAGGGCAGCCATGCTTTATGTTCCATCCGTAAGTGATCCGCCTCTACCGAGACTTTCCGTCTTCTCACATTCCTCAGATGTTAAATGTGCCCTTCTCAACTGTAATCAGGCAAAGCACAGGATTGGCAAAGACTCGGCCTATCATAACTTCTGTATTGAACGTATGTATTATAATATAATCTGTCTCTGCGTGCTCTAAACAAGTAATCTATAGATGCAAGCTGTCAAACACCCACTTGTAAGGGCTTCAAAACCTCGAACTCGTTGCATTGTCTAAGACACACATGCTCCGAACGAGACTGCGAAGCATCAACAGAGGAGCATCAGCTATGTGCAAATCGTAAGCTACTCGACATTTCCGAGGTCGGGGAGATAGTTTTCTAATGAAAGATTAGACCGGTGTGATGCCTCGGGTTGTGAGAATCCCAAGGGATGGAAGCGCAACCGCAAGGATCGCGAGCATTGTTGCCCTCTTCGTAGGACATTCTCCGCCCTTCTCTTCTCAATGTCACTGATAACTCCAAGATACCTGTCGCAACGAGAATTGCCAAAAGGAAGTGGGAACAATGCAGCTCTTCTGCAAATTGCGTAAGTCCAGTACCTAAAGGAATATGACATGGAGACGACTCATTGTCACTAGATGAATGCTCCAATCTCAAATGCAAGGAAGAGGCTCTCCTCGAGCAGTTGTGCGAGACTCGTGAGTACCTTGAGACAATAGACTTGTCGTCAAAGCCAATAAGCTAACAGCCTTATAGATCTCAGGACACAATATGAAGCTGCTGGCAGAGCAAAAGCGAAGGCTGAAATGCTTGAAATGCGGCAACCGACCATGGCTAAAGGAAACCTCAACCGAGACCTTCATGAAAGCAAATATGAATACAAGAGACCAGCTAGAAGCTCCTTCAAGGAGATGGATGATGATAGACATAGCCACGGCATGGCGCCTTATAGCGACAAGGATGAGTTTGGTACATCGCAGGATCAAGGATTCGGGCGAGATAGCGACGAGCAAAGTGTGCACAGTTGGATTCGAACAAGCTAAGCAGTAGCTTTGAATGCTCTATAGTGAAGGCATGAAGAGGGTATCTTTCCTTTTTTTCTACTCTGTAAGCCAAGGCTCTTTGGGCCTTGACATGAAAAGTCTTTGTTTTCGCCGAAGCTTGCGCGCAAGCAGGCCTTCCTACTCGAATTCCCTCACAGACCTTAGATTAGACAGTAATGCATTTCCATTAAACCGTTCCTGACCCTATATGCCATTCCTAGAATTCCCTCATTCTTGAAGTAGCTTTAATCTCCAGTATCGACCTCCAAATCAATCTGCACCCCATTGCTTATACCATAATCTTCAAGTGCCAAATGGTCTTTGAAAGGCCGCTCGCCCTGCCTCTTTAAGAGGATCTCATGTGGTTCACGACCAATGCGGGCCGCCACCATGATCTTGAACTCACGGATCTTGTCTGACGCAAAACAGGGAATGGCCGCTTTCGTACCCAGTCGATCGTTGACGTGCACGATGATCATCTCCTCGCCGTCCGTGGCTACAGGCGCCGGCTTGCTCTCCTTGTCCTTCTTGGGCTTTGACGAGCTTGAGCTATCCGCACCAGCACGCTCCTCGCGGTCGGGATGCCGTCTCGGTGATCGATTGCGATATCCTCCTACACGACCACCGCGCGAATTATCCTCCTCCCGGTCGCCTCCTGAGTTCTTCTGCTTCCACTTGAAGCCGCCGCCGCCTCCCTTAGGTTTGCGTGGGCGGTCTCTGTCCTGGTCTCGGTAGCGATCCCTCTCCCTGTCTTGATCTCGATCTCTGTTGTCAGCGCCTCTATCGCGATCTCCTCCTCTGTATCTGTCGCCGCCGCGATATGAGTCTCCTCCGCTGCGGTACGAATCTCCGCCTCGCCGATCACGCCTATCGTCGAAGTCTCGTCTGTCTCGGCGGGGTGGTGAACGGCTCCGACTTCTGCTGCGCTCCTTTGTGCGGCGTGGCGGGGAGCCTTGTTCGTCCCGCGCCGGCGGCGACCGACGAGGCCCTGGTGAGCCGCGGTCTGACATAATAAAAGGGTGTTAGGGAAGTAGGAGTTGTGGTAGTTTGTGAGAGACAGGAATGTGGAAGAAGCTTGGAGCTCTAAGGGTGGGCCAGGTAAGTAAATCCCCAAGCTTTGCCACCTATAGCAAGAGAGTTAGTGAGGCTCGAGGACTAATGCATGATAATTAGTGGGGCAAAGTTGTCGGTGATTTTTCGACTTAGTACACCGTGAACATTTCAGTGGCAGGCATTTTATCATCACTGCACATATCTGAATAATATTGCCAACTTGGTATAGTAGACTTCAAAATTAATCGATATGTAGAAGATGCGGTTCTCGGTCACGGTAAACTTAGTTATTACAGCATTGGTCAAATTGAACGTTTGAAAATGGCTTTTATTTCGACAATATTGTCTGCAAACGAGAAACCGACCATTACCCTTAACCCGAACCCCTTTCCGAAAACGCCGGATATCACAAGCCAGAATCGAAGTGTATCATACATGACGTGCAAGATGCTTCCATCCCCTGTGTGAGGAACAAAATTATGCCTTGACATCTGATGACCGCTTCTTCTTCTTTTTCGGCTTCTCTTCCTCGTCCTCATCAACCTTTCGCTTCTTGCTACTCGACTCGCCCGCCTCCTCGGCCTTGCGCAGCTTCTTCAGCTCCTTCTTGGAGAAGACACGCGGGGTGCCATCCTCGTTCAGCTCTACGTCGCCACGCTCGAACTTCCTCTTAAACTTGGTGACGGGGATGCCCGCAAGCTTGGCAAGACGCTCAAAGTCTGCCTCAGTAACAGGTTTACCAGTTGCAGGAGCAGCAGCGGCGCGGCGCTCGGCCTGCTCCGTCTGAGCAGCACGGCGGACTTCACGCTCCTTGCGTCGCTTCTTTTGCGCCTTCTTCTCAGACTTGTCTGCGGGCTCGACATCGCTGTCGTCTGATACAGGGGAGAGTGTGGGCGAGCGAGCACCATTTGCAGTTCCGTTTTGAGCAGGCGCATCCTCCATCTCCTCATCTTCTTCTACTTCCTGAATGAGTGCTTTCTTGGACTTCTTCTCCTTCTTGTCCTTCTTCTCAGCCTTGGCTGCCGGCTCATCGCCAGCAAGACCATCAGCATCGATGTTGTACTTTCTGGCTTCCTTGACATCCCATTTGCTGGGTGCCGCAGCAGCCTGACCATTGGGCCCAACAGCCACGCCCTTGGCAAGAAGGGGCTTGCCTTCCAGTCTTCGTAGGTTGTTCTCGATCTTGGCACGGGCAGCAACTCCCAGCGCAGACCTGACCTCCTCGTCATCGTCGTCTCCGAACTCACCGAGGGCATCGGAACGAACACCAAGAGCAGCCTTGGATGCCAGCTGACGGGCAATCTTGCCCTTGTTTTTGCCGGTAGCTTGACCAACAAGAGAAGCATGATAGATGAGACCATATTTGGGAGTAGAGTGCTTTGTCTTCAGGGCACGGAACAGAGCCTTCTCAGCACCCAAGATCTGAATGGTTGAACCGGGGTTCTTGGCGAGGTTCATCAAAGAACCTGCGTGGGCAATAAGTCGAGCACCGACCAGAGTACCAACAAGCTCGGTCAGGTTAGGAGCGATAGCTTTCATTCTGGCATCGAGATACCTGGAAAGCTCAGCACGGTACTCAGTGTAACTAACGACCTGCTCGGCCAGTAGCTGAATGTTGATCAGATCTTCCTCAGTGATCTCAGTACCCATACTGACTTCAGCAGCAGACTTCACAGCAGCCTCGATTTCCTCGGGGAGAATCTCCGACAAATCGGTCTCGGCAGTCTTAGTCCTCAGGCCGACAGTCAGGATAACACGGGCGTAGGCAAGGTTGTCATTGAGGATCTTGCCCAGTTCGGGGAAGTGCCAGCCGTACCACTCCTTGACACGCATGGCATATGTGTTCAACTCCTTGTCGAGATCGTCTAGCAGAGAGATGGCCTGGATGATCATGACATCCACCTTGTCAGGAGAAAATCGCAACTTATGGCGGGAGAGCGAATGAGAGAGACCGAGCGAGAGACTGCGGAGATTCTCGGGTAGGATCCCGGGAATGAGATCGGTAAGATGAGCGCGAATACCACGGTAGAGTTCGGCGGTCGTTGAATCGGTGACGGGGGTGATGTTGAATTGAGGGAGTTTGTGGATGGCGTTACCAAGGGTTTTATCGGCGACGGCGAGGGTGGCCTTCTTCTCATCTTTGAGCCCCTCGAGCAACTTCGATAGCATAGGAGTGACCTTTCCCTCGATCAAGCCCGCAATCTCCTCCAGACCGGCGGCGGCGCTGTCCCATTTTACAAGTTCCTTGAGCTTCAACCTGCGATATTGTGAGCCTCAAGCACCGCCTGGAAAGTTAAAATTCGATGAATGTGCACATACTCTCCATTGATCTTGTCTGCAGACTCGAGTCGGGAGGCCAGATCGCCGCTATCGAGCAATTTCTTGTCCTTAGCCTTGAACAAGGCATAGCTATTTTTTCGTCAGTAAAACCCAGCTTCAATCTTGAGGCGGCCTATAACAGCAAGCTGCTGCAAAAGGCAGCGCAATGTGTGCAACTCACCCCGCACTTGTTTCGGAAAGAATGAAGAGAGGCATTTTGGCGGCAGACAATTGATCTCGTCTGTGGTTGGGTGTGCCGTCCTCCTCTTTGTGGTGTTGCAGCCGTACCTTCTCGTCGTCTGCAGCGAGAAAGGCGATGGACAGTGTATGCGGGTGAGGAAGAGATCAAAATAATTTTTTTCCAAGCTTTACTGGGCTTTGGGAGTTTGCGGTGGGGCTGGTTTAAATTTTGGCGCTAAGCCGTAGAGGGTAGTCTGCTGGCTTTTGGGAGGTACGTACCCTGCCGACCAGCTGCCACCTGCTTGCGACTCCAAGTCTAGCTCCAGTCATTTGCCTGCCTCATCACTACTTCCACTCAGTCGCTTTGCAGGCACCAACCAACCTTCAAAGCCCTGTCCCACGTTGGAGAGCATCCGACCACAAGGAAAATGGAGGGACTTCTCTTTAACGTCAATAACGGGTGAGCATAGACTTCCGGATGGCGCCTTGATGATGAACTAATGTCGTATCCAGCTACATTGAGGGCATTGTCCGCGGGTATCGGAACGGTCTCCTCACCGGCTCCAACTACAGCAACTTGACGCAATGCGAGACGATCGATGGTTAGTCAAACAGCACAAATAGCAAACGCTTGAGTTCTTCCTAATAGCCTATAGATCTGAAGCTGCAGCTCGGCCCTGCCTATGGCGACTTTCTGGCAGCCCTACCTCCAAACCCCTCAACCTCGAGTCTCGCATCGAAGACGACCGACAAGCTCGTCTCAGAGTTCCGCTATGTCAAAGCCAATGCGGTGGGATCACTCGCCAAGTTCATGGATTACCTGACATATGGATATATGATTGATAACGTTGCGCTCTTGATTACTGGCACCCTACATGAGCGGGACACTCGCGAGCTTCTGGACAGATGTCACCCGCTAGGATGGTTCGAGACGATGCCGGTCCTGTGTGTTGCGACGAACATCGAGGAGCTGTACAACAGTGTGCTTATTGAGACACCTTTGGCTCCGTACTTCAAGGGTAGCTTGAGCCACCAAGACCTCGACGAACTGAACATTGAGATCGTCCGGAACACGCTCTACAAGAATTACCTAGAGGACTTCTACAACTTTGTTAACACCGATTCAGATATGGCCGGCACCCCCACTGCGGAAGTCATGTCTGAAATCCTAGAGTTTGAGGCGGACCGACGAGCGATCAACATCACCCTCAACTCCTTCGGTACAGAACTCTCCAAGGCCGATCGCAAGAAGTTGTACCCCAACTTCGGGCTGCTGTACCCTGAGGGGACTCTGATGCTATCACGTGCCGATGATTTCGAAGGTGTCAGACTGGCCGTCGATGGAGTCACAGACTACAAGAACTACTTCGATGCAGCCGGTCTAGGTGGCGGGCCTGCTGGGCCTGGGAACATGGCTGGAGGCTCCGGATCCGACTCAAGGAGCTTGGAGGACATGTTCTACCAGAAGGAGATGGAGATATCCAAGAGTGCTTTCACAAGACAATTCTCGTACGGCATTGTGTATGCTTGGGTTAAGCTGCGAGAACAGGTATGTGCCCATATTCATGATTCTACGAGCTCTACTAACTTCATAGCAGGAAATCCGTAATATCACATGGATTGCAGAGTGCATAGCACAAAACCAGAAGGAGCGTATCAACAACTATATCAGCGTATTTTAAAACGACACTCGCAGTTTTGTTTTCCACCATGTAGAATACCAGTGACACTTCAATGGCTTACGATAATCACTCATACCACGGATGGCGTATTTAGGGGCAGGAAGGGAGATCCAGACTGTGCGGAAGTCTTTGGTATTATTCCTGACTGTATTGTACATAGAGAAGTTTACACATTTTTACAGCTCATGCGTACACGATTCTAAAAGGTGATCTGCTGCTTCCACGTCGCCGGTGTCAGACCAAGCGTCTCGAGCATATGTGTCCATCGGCCACTTCCTCTTTCCTTCCGCTCCATGTATCTTAGTAGCTTCTGCCTTCTGTGGCAAAGATTTCTCAAGTTTCGCTTGTTGTGCTTGTCCTTCTCGCCCTTCTCAGACTCCAAAGCCTTGGCCAGGACACGGATTTTGGCCGTGAGGATGGCAATTTGTACCTCCGAGCTACCCGTGTCAGGCCCGGCACGAGCCAAGGGTTCACGAGCTTCCTGTCCACGAACAGGAGGCTTCTGTTGGACTGTCTTGTCCGTGTTGTGCCGACCAAAGGTCTCCACACATCTTCGGATATTCGCATGCAGCCGACCTTTGCTGCTAGCATTCTCAATACTTGTGAGGCGCTTTAGGGCCTCCAAAGCTCGAGCATGTTTCTCTTCATGGATCCGCTTCTCCTCGGCCTCCTTGACTGGGTCCACACGGCCACGAGATGTGACCTCAAGAGGCCTCGTCAGCTGGTAAGATGTGGCAATGGCCTCCTCTAGTTCCTCCTTGCTAGCCTGGTAGTTGAGAATATGCGGAGACGTGGGTAGTGGATGAGGTTCAGCAAGCGGATTTCCATCCGCATCTGTTGGTGGTGTTGAAAGTGTTGCTTGTCCAGCAGAGTCGAAGGATTCGATAAAGGGCGTCGGTATGCCATGAACCTGATCGCCCCATCCAGCATCGCGTTCCTTCTGTAGCTCTTCTTGTCTCTTCTCGTTGACGGCTCTTCGCTGTTGTGCTTGTGCCCAGCGGTACGGATCTTGTTTCATCCGTCGCTTTTTCTCCTTCATCGAGATATTCGCGGTCTGCACGAGCGGCTGCAGACTTCGCGTTGAGGGACGACTTGCTTGTCGAAGACATACTGAATGATGTATTAGTCCAATGGCTCATACAGATAGATCTGAAGAATGTTACCTACATGTAAGTGTCTGCAGCCCTTGCGGGCCGGATATTCGAGGTGGCATAGCGTATGCTTTGCCGGTGATGTCTCTCGACAGCTCCGAGTCTCGAGCTCGAGTTCAACTTTTAGCAACCAGGATCAGGGACATCTCCCAGGTACTGGAAAATTTGGGCCCCGAAAGCCGATTACCTCTTTAGGTTAGTCCTGAGAATTGACCCAAGAAGCTCTCTAAACTGCAGGTCCCTGTAATAAAGTAGCTCCGGCTCCGAAGACCTCCCCAAAATTTCCAAATCACGTGGCGTAAATTCTGTCAGGGTTTCCGCGGGGCAGGTACGCACCAGTAGGCCGGAAATTTTGTGAGCGGCGCAAATCCTTGACTTTTCTCAACATCGCGAAAGCTTCAAGTCAAGTCAACAAGACACTCGCTACACAAGACCGCCAAGATGGCCCCCGCCAACCTTCCCTCGGTCTTCAATGCGACCTCCCAGGACATTGAGATGCTCCTGGCGTCTCAGGCTCACATCGGCAGCAAAAACATGCAGGGTATGTCGCTTCTTCATAGGAATGGAATTTCGCAACGGCCTCAATTTTGGACGATATATGGCAGCAAACGAAGCTAACTTCGTGTTTTCTCAGTGCACATGACCCCTTACCTGTGGAAGACTCGCGCCGACGGTGTCAATGTCATCAACGTTGGCAAGACCTGGTACGTCAAAAGGAATCGAGAAGCTGAATTTTGGAGCCCTTCCTAATAGATCTTCTCCAGGGAGAAGATTGTTCTCGCAGCTCGCATCATTACCGCCATTGACAACCCCTCCGATGTCTGCGTTATCTCTGCCCGTCCCTACGGTCAGCGGGCCGTCCTGAAGTTCGCCGCCCACACCGGTGCCCAGGCCATTGCCGGTCGTTTCACCCCCGGTTCATTCACCAACTACATCACCCGTTCCTTCAAGGAGCCTCGCCTGATTGTCGTCACCGACCCGCGCACCGACGCCCAGGCCATCAAGGAGGCCAGCTACGTCAACATCCCCGTCATCGCTCTCTGCGACACCGACTCCCCCACCGAGTTCGTCGACGTTGCCATCCCCACCAACAACAAGGGTCGCCACGCCATTGGTACCATCTGGTGGATGCTTGCCCGTGAGGTCCTGCGCCTGCGCGGCACCATCATCAACCGTGAGGCTCCTTGGGACGTCATGGTCGATCTCTACTTCTGTACGTACATCTGCGCCATTGTAACCTTGAACTGCATACTAATTACTGTGCTCAACAGACCGCGACCCTGAGGCCGAGGCTGAGGAGAAGGTCGAGGAGGAGAAGCTCCCTGGTGTCGATGAGGAGGGTGTCCAGGCCATCGAGAGCGGCTTCGCTACCGCGGGTGGTGACTGGGAGGCCGCTCCGGCAGGCTTTGCTGGTGCCGCCACTGGTACCGCCGGCTGGGACGAGGCTGCCCCCGCCGCCGGCCAGAACTGGGATGCTACCACTCAGGGCGCTCAGTGGGGTGATGAGGCTGCTGCTGCCCCTGCTCCCAAGGAGTCTTCCTGGTAGAGCCAGGGCGGTGGTGGAGATGCTGCGGCGGACTCGTCCAATTGGTAAACTGTGCAGAGGAGGAATATCCCGACCGACAAAGGGCTTTGCTATTCGCTGACGTTCATCCCCGACGGGGGTTCAACTTTGATCCGTACTAATGAGGGAAAGATACTCGAAACCGGGCATTAAATAATGATCCGGGGAGAGGGAATGCCCTGTATGGTATCTCAGGCAAGGGGTGGACTTAATCGTGACTCCGCCCTCGCTCGTGGACAACCGATGCGAAGTAAAACCTACAAAATACAGATGAAAAAGCTTGCTAGCAATAAAAAACTGTGAAAACATCCTCACTGTGGTCCGTATCATTTGAGTGAAATTATTCATTGTCATATTGCGAGGCAATCCATTAATGCAATGATGCCACAGCCGTCAAATGTTAATACGGCTCTATAGTCTAGCAGCGGGTCTGGGAACAATAATAGCAGTCTAAATCTAAATGGTCTAAGACTCATCCATCTCTTTGCTCTTCACATCCCCTTCAAACCTCTTCTCATCAAGATCCTCTGCCCCTTCAACCAGCTGCTCCGGCGACTCAATCAGCATCGGCACGAGCGACTCCTTCGCCGGCATGAATTTACTCAGCGCCACATATACCAATGCGCACGAGAAGAAACCGTAGTACCAGTTCAGGTTGCTGATGTACACGGCGCCGCCGATGAAGAGCTTCGGGTTGACGGCGTTGGCAAGGCCGGGCAGCTGGGGCGTCACGGAGATGACCATGGCTGTGAGGGCTCGCCAGTTGACGCCGTGCCAGTACGCGTACCGTCCGTGCGGTTGATACAGCGCCGGGATGTCGATGGCTTGTTTCTTAACGATGAAGAAATCAGAGATTTGTACCGCCTTCGAGGTGTTAGCCCAACTGATTTTGAGAAGGGGGTTATACACATCCAGCACATGACATACCATAATAGGGGCAAGGAAAACACCAAGCGAGTTCATGAAGCTCAACAAACTGCTCGCCGAATGGAGGATCTTCCACGGTACCATCACCCAGCCGCCAATGATAGTCATTATCATAGCACCCCTACGGATATTAATCCACTTCGGAAAGAGGCTGGCCATATCGTTTGCTCCCGAGATGACCGTAGCCGATATATTCACGCACAGCTGAGCAATGCACCAGCTCACACCAGCAAAAAACGCTGCTGCGCGTCCCGCCGGTCCCTCCCAGGTATCGATGATCGAGACGGGGTCCCACAGGTACTCGCCAAAGAGCACGCCGGACGCCGAGGTGACGACAATGCCAATGATGGCGATCCAGCTGCACACGAGCGGGAACCAGACAGCCTGGCTGAGGGAGGATCCGGGCTTCTTCATGTACCGCGTGAAGTCAGGGATGTTGACGCCGACGGTGCTCCAGCTCGCCGTGCAGCTGTTCAGGCTCCACATGATCATCCAGCTCTTGGTGCTCCCCGTGACGGTCGGCTTCTGGTCCCAGATGCTGCCGGAGCCGCCTGCCCTCGTGCAGATCCAGATAGTCATTCCCACAACGGTGGCGGTGGTCATAACGACCTTGACGACGAACAGCCAGCGCATCTTGTGCGGCGGGATCAGCAGCATGGGAAACTGGATGCACCAGATGACGAAGTACGAGACCATCTGCTGTGTGGTGATGCCGACGCTCTCGGGAATGTGGTTGGGAAGGTTGCGGTAGCTGGGCCAGATGGCGCGGATGACCTGCGTTGTGGGCGCAACGGCCAGGAAGTTGGTGATGCTGTGCCAGAAGAGACAGGTGATGAGGCGCACGATGACGGGGAACTTGGAGAAGTGATAGCCAAAGGATGCTCGTGCGAGGACAGGGAACGGCACATGTGTCTTTGCTCCGGTATACCCGTTCAAAGCCATAGGCACGGCCATGACTGAAGAGCCGAAGATGATACTAAAGATCGCTTCGCGCCTGATCTGTGTTAGTCTATATACAGTTCTCTCGTTAATTAGAGTGGAGGTATTATTACCATGTCAACCCGACAGCCAAAATAGTGCTCCCAGTCTCCCATGACTGAATACTGATAATATCACTGATCCAGTATCCTAGAATCGTCAAGCTTGTCCAAGTACGACGCGCCAGGGGCGTCACGTCAAGATCGAGGTTGGTCCATGTTCCTGGCGGAGCCCAACTAGACTCTTGCTTCGGTAAAACCCATCCCTCTACCTTGGTCTTCCTTCGGAGTTCCTGTTTGACTCCCGTAACGCGTTGGCGAACAGCCTCAGCCATGATGAATCAGAGACTGCCAACACAACTGGAGGCAAGGCAATGGGAGAAAAAAAGAAAGGGGAAAAAAGAAAGGACGGAAGGTACGGCACCCCGTACGACTCAACAACAGATAAAAAAAAAGATATCGGCATCTCGCATGGTGGCATAGTCACTGGGTCTGCCGTCGGCAGCAGCTTATCGCCCGCACTCACCTCCCATTCCGTTGGCCCATACTCCCGATAACCCCCTAGAAAAGTCTTGGTCTCTTGGATCTTCAGGGCGTTATCTCTGCCTCGCAGATTTCAATGAGGTAAAACGGAGCTGTCGTTATCTGTCAGGGCCATCACCCGATGGATTCAAAGAGCGCCCTACTATCCTTAGATGTGCCCTAGTCCAGTCCTCGGTCTTGGGGACTTTACCGACTTCAGTATCGCGGGGCGGCAATCCCAGGATTCTGGTGCCGGTTGGAGAGATAAGACAAGACTCGGCCCAGCGCCTATCTAAGCCAGTAGCGGCCCAAGCGGTCGGAGAACAGCACCTCCCCCCGGCCACAGGGGTCTCAATCCACCGGACCTCGCCGGTCGTACCACCGTCTCTTCACAAACAAGCAGCCAATGATAAGAGTGCCGTTGTAAGAGATGCAGTGCATTTCTCCGTCCATATCAAGAGCCACAGGTAAGGCAGATGCCTTCTCCAGGGCTCGTGGGGAATGTTATTGCGACATCCTCCACCCATATCCGTGTAAGTGCAGGTCTTTAGATATCCGATAGCACACAAAATGGGTAGCCTCGAGTCCGAGCCCCCAGCTCCAGCTCCAGCTCCAGCTCCGGCTCCGGCCCTGACAATCCCCGTGGTCGACATCTCGGGGTATCTCTCCGGCGACGCCTCCGCGACGTCCTCCATCGCCGCCGCACTCCATTCCGCCGCCCGCGCCCCGGGCTTCTTCCAGGTGGTGGGGCACGGCGTGTCGCCGGACCTGCGGGCCCGCGTCTTCGAGCGCCTCGCCGCCTTCTACCGCCTGCCGGCCGGCCAGAAGCTCGCCCTGCACCGCGACAACTCGCCCAACGGCCTGCGCGGCTACGAGGCCGTCGGCAACCAGACGCTCGAGCCCGGCTTCGCGGACCGCAAGGAGGGCTTCATGGTCGGCGCGGAGCTGGCCTCTGGCGAGACGGCGCGCTTCCTCCAGGGCGCGAATCAGTGGCCGGACGAGGACGCGTGCCCGGGCTTCCGGGACACGATGATGGAGTACTTTGAGCGGCTGCGCGCGCTGAGCAAGACCATGTTCCGTCTGATGGCGCTGAGCTTGAGCCTGGACGAGAAGTATTTCGATGCGTTTGTAGGAAGTAAGGATTGTAAGTGAAAGGAGCTGGCTGTACCTACGTATGACGCTCCCGGGCTGACATGCGTCAAGCGGTCGCACTCTGCAGGGCGCACAGGTATCCGCCGACGACGAAGGAGATGGCAGAGAAGTCCCGCGGCATCGGGGCGCATACCGACTTTGGGGCCTTGACGTTGTTGCTGCAAGATGACTGTATGTGCGAATCCCTGAATCGCCCCTTAAATTACCCCTATTCCCTGCCAGCACGCAACTCCTCTAAACACACCCGCGCCTAACCAAACCTCTAGTGGGCGGATTGGAAGTCTTCCACAGGCCAACGCAGACATGGCATCCCGTGACGCCAGTTAAAGACGCTTTCGTCGTCAACATCGGCGACATGATGGGTAAGCGCCCCCCGCTTTCAGAGCAACACCGTCTGCTAAACCCCCCTCTCAACAGAGCGGTGGACGAACGAGAAGTACACATCGACCCTGCACAGGGTGATCTCGCCCGTCAGCGACAGGGACCGCTACAGCGTCGCCTTCTTCAACGAGGGCCTGCTGGACCAGATCATCGAGTGCATCCCGACGTGTCTCGAGCCGGGCGCGGAGCCGCTGTACGAGCCGGTGCAGGTCGAGGCGCACCTGCGGAAGCGGTATGGTAGCAGCTACTAGTCCGTTGGGTTGTATTGTATTTTACTCGGGTAATGAAATGATATGAAATGACTTCACGTAACAAGCAAGCAAGCCATGGAAAGTGGGCTCTTATGTCTTCAATTCAATTCAGCAGCGCCCCTCGGCGTCTGCCTCGCTATGGTATCTAGTGATGATGCAGCGGACGATTGCGCGCGCCACCACCGCTCAACGACACGCCGATATCTTCTCGAATCCGCGTCCCTCGTCTCCCCAGCGGTCCAGGCCTACCATTGCGGTGCTCCCGGAAGCCGCCTGAAATGATTAATATTTACAACTGAATCCGTCTTTCCCTATCTCCCAGCCGACGCACGCAGAATACGATGCAGCCAGTCCCCAAACTTCGCAAAAGCCATTCGTGACGGGACAACACCATTGCCAGACAAGACGTGAGCGAAAACAGGATGACGTCGTAGGACATCGGTCGCTACTCCTCAAGGAATGCCCGCTTGCTATATACGTCGCCGCGCAGTACCAAACGGGAAGGGGGTATGTGTGTGTGTGCAAATAATGAAGCTTTCGAAAACACGAAAGAAAAGACGCCGTGTGATGTATGATGTATGTATGGATGATGATGATGATGATGA